AATAATTTCATATCTAGACAATATAAAAATTAAAGAATCGGAATATACGATATCAAGGAGGACCATTTCTTGGAAGAGTTTATGTCTTGATATTATAGAGAAGATAATTACAAGTGTATGAACTAAATGATTAATTGTTTTTGGATTATCTGGACTGTATTATACTTAACTCCACCTGGAGCCTCTTTGGGGCTACTGCCGGTCCCAAGCCCGAATAAAGAAGGAGGGGTAGATATGGGGTTAACGACCTCATCCTGTAGAAAACTAACTCGCTAAAAAAACGCTTTACCCGAGAGAAAAATAATTCGAACTATACTTGATTTAGATTACTTAGTTTCAGAAAATGATTAACAGTATTCTCACTGTTTTCATAAAATCAATAAATGATACCGGTTTACAAAAAGAAATCAGTACTTAAAGGTGAAACGTTTTTCTATAAACGATTTGATTAGTCTATTGTTAAGCAATCATTCATATTACTTAGAAAGGAAAGATTCTTATAATATGTTTTACATCGGTGTATTAAAGATATGAATTTTCTAAAACTTCTTGATGTTTGACTTACCACTGATTGTCATCATTCTGTCCATTGAAAACATAACAAAACAGTTATAGTATTTATAGTCTAGTGAATTTGAGAATCAATTGTCATCTTCAGTTAGTTGTGAACTGTTTCATAATATAAGACTAGTTTATCATCTTTGTACTAATAAACAGAATCACACTACTTTTCTCTGACCTTCAGTGCAGCATGAAATATATATGTATGTATATCATTAGTTTACAATGCGGAATGATCTTATTTAGACAAATACTGGAGACTAAAAAGCCCAGTACGTGACTTGTCTCCATTGCTAATCCCTGAGCCCCAACGGCGATTGAACTCAGGCTTTTTTCAAAATTGTTAAACAATGTTGGGCAACTCACTCAACATTATCATTATGTTACTAAATGTATTATACATAGTATCATACAGATTTCATGGATGCTGTCAATAATTTTTTTCGCATATTTCCAGTCAAGTGATAAGTGACCTAAATAGTTAGTAAGAAGAGTTTATAGTGGCTTAGCTTCGTTAATCGATCAACTCGATAACCGTTATTATATAAATCCCAACGGTGTTTAAAATCAGAAGGTAATAAGAAGCGGCGACTACAGTTTATTAAACGATAGTACAGATCACAAAGCCATAGGCACATCAAGCGAATTCGGAACACAGAAGCGGATATATGTGAGCCAGCAAATACAGAGGCGAACTTATAGTCAAATCGAATAAAGTTGTAGCTAGGCAAGGCAAAGTCTATTAATAGGATTCGAGTAGATGGGAAAGAGAATGGTTCATTGAGCAATATTTAAGATATTAACATTTAACCCAGAGATATGGGCTTAGGCTGTACACATGTGAACAAGAGTACCCGTTGATCCTTATTTAGGAAACAGTGTTCTATCTGTGTATAACTAATACTCAAATGATTGTCAGGCAACTTTTATCCTAATAGACTGACTAACAGGGAATTAATAAAACAGAGTAACACTACCAAGAAACTGATGTATATTTTTGTAGTGTCACAAAATTCGTATAAAATTATAAAGTCGTAAACTGAATCAGTCATAAAATGAATAAAAGTGGAAATACTTATTCAACTTTTGACTGTGATCATGAACCGATTGATGTTAGACCACCATTGAAAACCTGGAAGCACTTGACGACTGTTTCGTCCTAGTATGGGACTCCTCATCAGTGCGCACCCACGACAGCGCCAGTGGGATTCGAACTCAGGGCATTCAATCTCGCGCGCGAACGCAAGGGTGGCCTGCTTGATCATCTGGGCTACCTGTTCCTGCCATCTAGATATTTCAACAAATTATCTATTTTTGTTTGTTTTAATATATCGCTATGTTTATTAATCGCATAACCTATTCTGCTGTGTTTCTGAAAAGTGTACAACTTTTCGTTGTCAAAGTTACAAAAATCTCAATAAGAGACAATGTGGTTGCTGACAATATACAAAAAAAGAATGCACATTATTCAGATGTTCATTTAGTGAACTGCTAACATTTAACTGGCGATCATTCAATATTTATCGCCAGGACCGACCAAGAAGAAAGAAACGGAAACTTGTTGAAATACTTTACGCTGAGAATTCTATATTGTACCAAAGATATAACATTGAATAAAGCTGATAATAATAATAATAATAATAATAATAATCTTACTTGACCTCTGATCTGGCCGGCATCCAACGGTGTTAGTGTCTAACATCAACCAATCTATGAAATTGCACGACCGTCTTCCATTGTACTGAGGTAGGTACCTGTCTCTGCCCGAAATGGATTAGCTCCCCTGGTCACGGCTTCTCAGTAGAACTCCGATAATTCTTTCACGAAGCTAGTCACTAGTGAGCACATTGTAGAGTCCTTATTTACACTTGATGGTTAGGGTTAAAAAAATAGATCACGAATTGACATCAGCTATAATGGCAAAACTTCATTTAGACAAATGTATGAATGATTTTCGCGCCGAAATTCGTGACTCGTTATCTTATACCAGATTGATTTGTCCATTAATTATTGTCTCGATCTCAATATTGATCTCGGTAACATCTCAATAACATTTATTCACGAATATTTGCAATGATTTAATTGAAGTTGATATTTACTCTTGAAAGAAATATGATCATTTAAATTGTAGACGATCGTAAATCTTTACAACATAGCTGTTGTCTTTTCAGTAATCATCGAAAATACTGTGTATTCTTGTAAAATTCTCGGTAAAAACTTTGTCGTCACCGTTGGAGCCGTGCTTGTGTACTGGTGAAACGTTCTGTACTGTAGAATTACACTTCAATGTCATACTGGTCTAATTCTTAGAGCTGGTCGAATCCTATTGATCATTTTGCAGTGTGGGTATTGGAATCTTTGATTTGAAAAGAGGTACAGAATTTTTCAATGTCGATTAGTAGATGATAGTCAGTAGGAAACCCTTAACATATCTTTGAGTCTCCGACTGAAAACCTGAATAATCCAAAAATTATTGGTTTCTTCAAGATTTCAGGTAAACCTTGATGACAAGTGCCAAATAGCCGTATGTCTAAATAAAAGGCTTACTGTCTTCTCCTTTGAACTACGTACTATCAAAATGTTTGTGTACTTGTATTATATTTTAAATAATGAACAAGTTAGTTTCTGATCTAAAGCTTGCACAGATTAATTGTAGTTCGATGTAGTTATGTATCTTAAATTTTCTCGAGAATTGCTAAACATAGAAAGACAGTGTATATAACTTCTAAAATTGAAAGATATTTAACCAATATCTGTTTGAGATTAATGCATGCTGCTTTCAGGATAACATAGTAGTAAACAAGAGCAAATGTGAAAATTGAAATTCAATGAGAAAACAAGAACCAGTCTTATAAAGGAAAATATGAAGCAGTAACACAAGAAATCCACTTGATATTGTTTGTTTTACTCTTCCAATTGATGTTTAAGACTGCAATTGATCAGTCTTTTATTCGCATATGTGCATACTATGCATATTTATTTGAAATGACCTTAATTCACAAGCATTATATACAAAGATGAACTCAATAGCTAAGTGGATACCGTGATAAAGTTTGAAGTGAACGGTACTGAGTTCGAGTCCCAAAGTGAACATCAACTCTGAGATGCAGATACACTCAGCTGAAAAGTTTCAAATAGTACGAAACGCTTATCCTTACTTCTACTGTTAGCAACTATCTATATTTGCATATTAGTAACTTAATAGTTACGAAAAGAATATACAAATAAAATAATGAAATATATTTAGGATATAACTGATAACATGGTTAGAAAATGAAGGTAAAATCTTTTTTCATCATTGTTAACCTGTAGATAGTATAAGACTTAAATTCATTCAACTTGTATATTTCTCCTTAACACATTTATTACTTGGTAGGAATAGGTAGGATTGTTCCCTATTTTCACAACACATATCTACAGTAATTTGTTTGTATTCAATGATAGAATGTTTATATTTACTGATTGCATATAATAAAAATGTTTACTACAAATGTATATTAATAAAATCTAACACTGGCAGGTCACACGACTGGTTAAACATTAGAAGAAGAACAAGCAAAAAAGAAACACAATTCATATCTTTCAATAAGCGGTATAACACCATATTTCTACTGTTTTACATATTAGACTGTTACGTCAAATAAGAAAAAAAAGGAGGGTGATACTCTATAACTAACATCAGAAAAATCCGACAGGAAATGAGTTTTTCTTTTCTTTATTGACAATCTTTTCACTTGTCTACATTTTGTTTTTTTTTCTTTTAAATAATTTCTATGCATTTTGAAAACACACACACACACACATAAGTCTTAAGATTTATTTCCGATTAAAGTATGATAGTATTTATGAAATGATAGAAAGAAAGTGATATTTATTAATTTAGTTAAATATTTGCTTACACCTGTTACTCCTCGTGGAGGAGCATAGTCCGCCCACCAACATTCTACATTCAACATTGTCCCAAGCAATCCTTTCCAGCTCTTTCCAGTTCTTATTCATCCTTTTCATATCTACCTCTATTTTCCGACGTAATGTGTTCTTTGGCCATCCACTTTTACACTTTCCTTCGGAATTCTGTTAGAGCTTGTCTCCTGAAATAGTTGGAGGTTTGCATAATGCATGTTCTATCCATTAACATCGTCTATCCTTAATTGCCTCTTCAGATGGAAGTTGATTAATTTTCTGAAACAGTAGGATGCTGCTGATGGTATCCGGCCAATGGATGTTGAGTATCTTGTGTAGACAACTATGTATAAATGGTTGTACCCTCTTGCTGATGGTTATAGTAGTAGTTCTCCAGGTTTCAGCTCCCTAGAGTAGAATTGACTGACTTGACGTTCGTTTTGAAGACTGTGACTTTGATATTGGTTGAAAAATGTTCTAAGTCCTAGATGTTCGTCAATTGTAGGAATGCGACCCTTAACGAAATTGATAATTACTGAAAACTCAGAAGCGTAGGATGATGATGATGATGATGATGATGATGATGATGATGATGATGATGATGATGATGATGATGATGATGATGATGATGATGATGATGATGATGATGATGATGATGATGATGATGATGATGATGATGATGATGATGATGATGATGATGATGATGATGATGATGATGATGATGATGATGATGATGATGATGATGATGATGATGATGATGATGATGATGATGATGATGATGATGATGATGATGATGATGATGATGATGATGATGATGATGATGATGATGATGATGATGATGATGATGATGATGATGATGATGATGATGATGATGATGATGATGATGATGATGATGATGATGATGATGATGATGATGATGATGATGATGATGATGATGATGATGATGATGATGATGATGATGATGATGATGATGATGATGATGATGATGTTGATGATATGCATGAATGCTTTTCTGAGCAGTAGCATAATAAAATGAAACAATTAACCAGTGCTGCTAATTTCATAATGGTTGTCTAACTAAGATTATTTAGTGATATTTTAAAATCATTTATCATTATTTATAAAAACGAAATCAAACAAAATAACACATATGTGAATGTAACAGTATAAAGAAAATAACATTTCGGTCAGTAAAACGCTTTAATCATACATTATTCAAAGTAATAAATCAAATAATCCAATGACGTAATCAAACCGTTACTGTGTATGTGTGTTTTAATTTAGATGAACTTCCTACTTCAATAATTTACTAATAGAAAAGAAAAATGGTATTTCAAGGGGAGAGTTTAGAAATAAAAAAATTTTTGTATCTACTCTAATAGATGTGTTTTTTTCCCCTTGTCATACTACACATCGGTAATCATACACATAGAATGATATATTAGTTGTCAGTTAAAGGGTTTTTATCTATTCCCTATTTGAACATACAATAAAACATTATAAATCTGTACTTATAGTTGAATAGTTATAAATGTAGTAAATAATATTTGTCTTATTTGCTTACTTATTCATTAATGTGTATATAGACATATTGTAGTTAACTGTGATTCTGTTCTTTTTTCTTCCTTTTACACAATTCAATCATGCATAATCATGCATAACTCATTTACATACATAAGTACATAGTATCAGAGTACTTGTTTATTTGTTAGTTTATTTCTCTCTTTTATAGTCCAATGATCAGTTTTTCTCTATTTTGAATTTCTCTATAGTCAAACATTTATTATTACCATTACCATTACTATTATTATTACCATTACTATTATTACTACTAGTATTATTAATATCACTATTATTATTACTATTACTATCATTACCATTACTATTATTACTACTAGTATTATTAATATCACTATTATTATTACTATTATTATTATTACCATTACTATTATTATTATTACTATTATTCTTCCTCAATCAAGTGGATGAATTCAACTGAATAATAAGACTCTTATGAATAGGTAAAGATAAGTTTTGATTAATTTATTATTTATTATTGGATTTCTTTGTTTTCATTTTATAACTTTCTTACTATTATAATTTCATTTTTAAAATCTTTTTTTCTATTTATTCATTGTATTCAATTCTATTCAATTCATCTTTCTTTCATTATCTGTCTCTCTTGCTCGCTCGCTCACTCACTGGCTGGCTCGTTCTCTTTTTGTCTCTTGATTTGGTTAGTTTTAGAGAATAGGTTGGTTAACAACAAATTGCCAATGTCTGTCTCTGTGTGTGTGTGTTTATGTGTACATCAAATACAAATTGAATTTAAGTTAAAAGATAACATAGACATTAAGTTTTTGTTATACTCTAAATGACTACTCATATTATTACTATTATTGTTGTTGTGATATTATTAGTATTGTAATTGAATGAATTTGTAATCATCATAAAGGAAGGAATGAAAATAGAAAAGTACTAATAATTGGGGATAAAAACAAGTCTTTCTTCTTCTTCTCTTTTTTTGCTTGTTCATATGTTTATCTTGTGAAATGTGTACATCTTCCCTTCATTTCCATCTTTATTGAATACGAATAAGAATGTATCATATGAAGTAATCTATTTCTGTTTATTATTGTATTTCTTTGATATTTCCATCAACAAACTTACTGTCAGTGGACTAATGGTTAAGCACTAGCATGCGAGACGGATAGGTTCTGGATTCGAATTTCGTGGGGTGTGAATTCGTGGATAGGCATTGCTGAGGAGTCCAATACTAGGACGAAACGGTCGTACAGTGCTTCCAGGTTTTCCATGGTGGTGTAGTTTCAATTGACTCATGATTTCAACTATTGACACTTACTATCACTCTGTCGTTTTCTTCGCTCTTATTATTATTATCACTTCAATGTGTAGTTATACATCTACAAAATGGAAATGTGTATGTACTTCTAAGAGAGTGTATCATTCGATAATGTTTACTACTGTAATATCAATGGTCTATCTTTTTATCCGTCTACCAATTTAATTACTTACCAATTCATCAATTATATAAAACAGATTTGTAAAACATTACATAACAACTAAACAAACAAATAAACAGAATACTGATTTTTTCCTGATCATGAAAGTGAACATTTCAATATTCAAACAGCAACAAAATTTGATAGTAATGATCCAGATAAATGATGCGGAACAATTTGTCAATGCGAAAATCCACCACCCCACGACACGGGGTGGTGGATGATGAGGAATACCACAGTGGGACAGAACAGCTGTCCAGTGCTTCCATTTTTTCCATGGTGGTCTAGCTTCGATTGTCTGATGTTCTCAACTATTGAAAATAAATAAAAGCCAAAATGTAAATGTTTCCTTATTTATTTGGTCATCTTTTTTTCATATAGAATAATTTAAAAATATACTAACTATACTAAACATTTATGATTCTATTTAGAGTATACACTTCAAAAGTAATGAAGAGAAACAAGATTGGAAGAAAGAAAGAAAGAAAGAAAGAAAGAAAAAGACTAAACAATCAAAGAAACAAGCATAATTGATTGACTGATTGATTAGTTAATTGTCCTTGTAAGAGAAAATAAACAGAACTTCAATTATCTCTATCTTTCGACGAAACATTTTTTATTTCTGTTTACGAATGTAGGAGTGATTATAAGCTAAAAAAAGTAATAATAATACTTTAATAGTATTTCATTATACAACTGCATTCTGTTAAAAATGGTCAGTGTTAATTCAATAGAATCAGTGAAATTAAATAGTTCTGGCTCAGTGGCATAGAGGTTAAGTGTCTATGCACGAGATCAATTGATCTTGCGTTCGAATCCCGGGAGCGAGATTGTGAATGCACACTAATAAGGAGTCCCATAATAAGATGAAACAGGCATTCAGTGCTTCCAGGTTTGCCATGGTGGTCTAGCTTCAAATGACTCATGAATTCAAATATTAAATTAAATCACTCAATTGATTTTCATCGTTTACAACACTAACTATTCGTATTTAAACAACCATTGAGAGCCAGAAACTTCTAGACTACTATTTTGTTCTAGTATGAGACTCTGTATCTGTGTCGATATATGAACCCACCAAGGATCAAATCCAGGATCTTAAATTCTCATAAATCATTTGGGTTACACTCAATAGTTTACAATTCTGTCTTCAATCTATTTTTAATATTGTGTAAATATCTTTTAATTTCATTAGTGGTTAAATGGTTCATACATGATTTATATGAAATCCATTGGTGACGGCTCCTTATTAGGACTAGATAAAATGATTTATGTCATCAGAATTAATGGAGGTAATTCACGCATCAAGTTTTTTTTCTTATTAGGTCGTTTCAGAAATCGAAGAGTCATTTCGCTACATGATAACTGTAGTCAAGGTGACTTACTCAAATATTTGAACAAATAAACTTATACGTAACTTGATTAACTGAATACGAGTGAAAGACAATGCCTGTCAAATATTATTTGGTGAAATTATAATTTATGAACGACCTTTGAGCGATAATAAACTAACCCTGAGAATATCTGTCTGCTTACTAGGATTAAATGTAGGTTATAAACTAGTGTGATGAATTAGAATTATGATTTACAATTAATGGTTCGATTTATGAATTAGATTTATTGTTTACATCACGAAATGATATCAGCTTAAATGCCAAAACGCTATTTACCCAAATAAATAAATGAATATTACGTAAAGATCCAAGACCTGTTATCCTAAATCTGATTGGTTATTCTATAAATTATAGTCTCGTCATTGGAGCTGACAGTTCTTTACGGTATTGTTATTATTTATTATATTTATATCATATTATGCTGCAATATATTGTAATCTTGGTAAATTAGTAACCTTACTTACTTACTTACTTGCTTGCTTGCTTACTTACTTACTTACTTACTTACTTACTTGCTTGCTTGCTTACTTACTTACTTACTTAATTACTTACTTACTTACTTACTTACTTACTTACTTACTTACTTACTTACTTACTTACTTACTTACTTACTTACTTACTTACTTACTTACGCCCCAATGAAACATAGGCCGCCGACCGGCATTCTCCAACCCACTCTGTCCTGGGCCTCCTTTTCTAATTCCATCCAATTCTTGTTCATTTTTCTCATGTCTATCTCCATTTCCCGGCGTAATGTGTTTTTGGTCTTCCTCTTTTCCTTTGATCTTGAGAATTCCATGTTAGGGCTTGTTTTGTGACGTAGTTGGGTGCTTTCCTCAATATGTGTCCTATCCACTTCCAGCGCTCCTTCCTGATTTCTTCCTCCGTTGGGATCTGATTTATTCTCTCCCACAGTACCTTGTTGCTAATAGTGTCCGGCCATCGGATCTGAAGTATTTTGCGTAGACAACTGTTAATAAACACCTGTATCTTCTGGATGATTGTTTTCGTAGTTCTCCAGGTTTCCGCCTCATACAGTAGAATTGTTTTGAAATTTGTATTGAAAATCCTGACCTTGTTGTTGGTTGACAGAGAGTTGTTTTGAGTTCCAGATGTTCTTCATTTAAATTATAGTAACCACCCCATCATAACTATCATATAACGTAAATACAAGATAAAATATCATTCTGTATTTTATTTTCATTAATATTAACTTTGAGTCGATATAACTTATTGATGTTAGAAACTAGATTTACTGAATTCGAATCTTAATTTGAATCTCAACATGTTATGATCCAAATACATTCATCGAACGAGTATCTCCACTACTAGCTACAATCTATCTTCTTTTTTCTTTTTTAATGAATGAACAATTCTTCTATTATGTTTGTCTATCTAAATGGCTTATAGATTTTAACACATATTCACAAATATGTCTATAAACATAGTTGTGTTTTATTAAAGATGAATGGTAACAAATAACGACTATTCTTCACAATATCAATAATTTGCCTTTAAAAAGAAAAAAAAGGGGAAAGAAACATATGTAACTGGGAGAAAAAAAAAGAAGAAAAAAAACTTTATTCATTAATCAA